GTAATTATTGCAGTTATTAATAATATAAATAAATTTATTAACAATATTATTTATTTAATAGCTTGTAAAACAACACAAATTACTTCAAGGGACCATAACTTTAAAAATCTGGAATGTCATATTTTCAATCTTTGATAAAAACTTCTTGAATACAATCAATATAAATGCAATTGCTACCAAAATTATGGCCTAAAAAAAATTGCGAAAAATCCAGGAATACTTCAAAAATCTTCATGTTTATTTTAGGGAGGAAAATTAAAGCATGATAGCATGCATTCTTGAAAAAGTCTAGTCAAAAGGAGATGCCTCTGAGAAACAAGTTTCTTTCACTATCGCAATATGTCAAATGATTCTAAATCCAAGTAATGAAAGTATTTTAATTAATGTAGTATTAATTAAAAGTAAAATAGAAAAAAATAAGGTAAGTTTTAAAATTTTTCGAAATATTATAGAGTTATTTATTTATTAATAATTTATTTTAAGAAAAAATTAAAAAAAAATTAGATTTATGGAAGGTAATTCAAGTGATAAAGATCAAGAAATACATAAGCAGAAAGACATTGAAATTCAAAATACTCTGGAGAAAGTAGAAAATAATGAAAATGATCTGGGATTACAATTAGAAAATGTAGAAATAAAAAGATCTACTTCAGCAATAAGTAATATAAATGTAAATGATTAATAAAAATATATAAAAAAAAGTAATTTTAAATAAATAAATTTTAAAAATAAAACCTGTAGGTCGATAGCATAGTGGTAACGCTCCCAGGTCACCAAGTACTGTTTCCGAGTTCAATACCACTGTGAAGCAATACCACCTAAAGCCTAGGTGGTACAAAAAAATCTCATCCGCTTCATGATGACGATCTAACTACCTCTGGCCAAGACCCTGTCCGATCATGGGGTATCCAAAAATCACAAGATGCTTTAGCCAGTTTTAGTGTTGAAGCTACCTCGTTACAAGACAGATTCTTTCAAGCTCCTGCAGATAGGTTGAAAATCTGCATGCCGTAATCAAGAAAGCTAACGAAGTCTAGGCACGTTAGTTAGAGGATAGTCTCTATCAAAAAATCGACATCCACCCAAGACTCCACATGGTCACTCCATAGGTAGGCTATAATAGGTCATGTAAAAAGAGTGCTCTGGTGGGACGAGATGACATCTAAGACTTCACGCAGGTATTCCGTAAGCATACTGTAATAAGTACTGTAAAAAGAATATTTGGCGGGATGAGATATGAAAGGGGTTCTGTGTTATAGATCCTGAGCCTGTAACACAGATATAGGTAGTGGGATAGGAGGGCTTCCTCCAGCAACAAGCCATAGGGATACACAAGGTGTTACAATCAGGTTTATAGTTATAATGATAGGATAGGTTTAAGCCTGCTATAGTTAGTATAACATTGATTATAGAATTGTCCTGTAATTAAATAGCTAACTAATATATAAGGTCTGTTCTATTGATTTCAATAAACTGGGCTTCATTATCCTCTTTAAAAAAAAAAAAAATTTTTTAAAAATAAATATTTTAATAATAATGTAAAATTATTTAAAATATTTGAAAATCTTTGAAGTTCTATATATAAATATCCACTCCAAAGACTTTTAACAATGATAGAGCATCTCCAGAGTTTTATATCCAAAAATCTTTAGAGATCTTTGTCAAAAAAATTTCCTGATATTGTTGATATATAAAAGGTATTATATTTAGGAAAACACGAGTGGATCTATACTTTGCATATGGTAAATGTCTAAGATAAAGGAAACTGTCCTTTGAGGATGGATTATTCCTGGAGTGAGACTTTGTATATGCCTGAATTGTTATAAACAAAATATTTTTATTCTCTTTAGTCTTTTCCAACTTCTTAAACTTTCCCTACCTATTTTTTTTTTTCCTGTTTATCTTTACCCACTCATTTTATACCCTTCCTACCAATGAATAGTTTTTTTTTTTTCAAGATTTTCTTCCTAAATTTTTCATTTATTTTTTTTCTGATGAACCATTTTATCAATTTTATAATATATCAAGCCTTTGCTCTGATCAAGTTAGTAGGTTTAACTTATGAAAAAGATTAAAATGAAATCTCTTACAATTAAGAGGTGAATTTGTGACAAGAGAGATCATATTTTCAAAGTTCTAAGTATACTTTTCTATAATCATTAGCCATTTACAAAGTCATCTGAATAAAGAATAAGTATAATAGTATGAATGTCAGTTGGTAACATCAAAAGTAAAATTTTATTTGCTGAGTATCTAGACTATTATTTAATGTTAATTAGAGAGTAAATGACTAGCCAAGAGCTCTTGTTCTAAATATTTGATAATATTACCATTATTTATTGTAACTTAAGAGAAATAACAATGGAACCTCATTTTGTTTTAACCATCTTCCAAAATTCACCAAAAACCATGGTTAGCTTACCCTTTCAAAAGATTGGTACAAGTTGATTATGCCTTATTAAGTTTAAAACCTTTAGTAAGAAAAGACTTATAGCTTATATCTTAACCTAAACTGGTTTTCAGATTCAATATAACAAAAACCTAACCATATTATCATACATATCATTATTTTATCCCAGCAAGTATCCTTATTGGTCGATAGTAAACTAGTAGCTAGATATTATCTACTATTTTTCTCTTTCTTTATATGAATTTTTAGAATCTAATTACACAATAGACATTAATTAATTTACTCGGTAGTTAACCTTATAAAGACTATTTATAGCATGTATTGCTCATTTGTGTTCAAAAAAATTTTTTTTGAATTATTTTTATTATATTTTATTCTTTTTTTTTTAAAAAAAAAATATCTATTAAGGAAAGAAAATATAGTTTCTAAATCTAACTTAAAGTATAAATTAAGACTCTGTTTTGTTTAATTCAAACTAGTTTAGTGGATTTCTTATATTTTTAAAATAATATAATCTTTTAACTAATAATATATAATGATGGGTTAGCCATCATATAAGTAGTCTATTTAAAGACACGTTATGATAGTATGATTGTGAATAATTTGATTGAAATATACAGTATGTATTTGTTTATAAGACAAATTAGTCGACCAATCATCTTCTGGTTCGGAGGACACCAAATACTCTTTTATTCGGAAATGACGTGTAAATGCTAACCAACTATGAATTTTACGGATACAGTTAAAGAACTTTTGGATGCGAAAGCGCGAGATCCCAATTATAATTCGTCTTGGGCAGCTTTATGTGGTGGTCTATTTCAGGCGGAAGATCACGTAATGCACAAAATATAAGAATGATTAAACCTCGTTCATAATTTTAAAAAAATCATCACTTTAACCTTATTTCCTGAAATCAGAATTTGTCAACTCTTGATGACATGTCGGTTCACCTGTATCAATGCATACTTTCCTGTGTAAGTTCAGAGGTGTCAAAGGATTCACGGTTCGAAAAAGGAATTCTAGAGAGACCCTTTTATCTGGCATTGGTCGAAATGCTAAGGAATTGCTTTGAAAATGGTGGGGAATTCCCGGATGACATAAAACATAGTAAATTATTTATGCTCGAAAACATCAATCTGTCGAGGTATCGTTTTTATTGATTGACCAAGTTCAAACGACATAAATGTCGTGAAGGCGCATACAGTATACCGCATGTATAATTGACATTCGCCAAAGTCTAGATTGGAGGAAATCGAGAAAGAAATGAAGCGTATCTTGGATTTATGGAACGGGTTTCCCAATGTACTCGAAAGTTTGCATAAAAATACACTTCGTGACTTTCTCTTTAAGGTTATTATTGGATTAATTGCAATTTGTTTCGCGTAGACTTTCGACTTGACTTCTTAACGTGAACAATTTCGCTGTCAGTTTTTGACGCCCAGAGATCTTAACACGTTCTTGGGGCTCCGAACCACCGTAGGGTCGGCCACGCAACTTCCACCATCATTGTTCGAGTGCATCGAATCTTTCACCCGTCGTCATATGAAAGTTAATACCAAAAAACAAGTTCGACCGAACGTTATCAACACTCTCACAGTTGGAGCTAAGGCTTTTTCCAAACATTGTCATAGAGATGTGTCCAGCTCTTTTTGGGGGATTTGCAGTGGAAGTAAGTTTCGTTAGTATTTGCTGTTATCGTGATTCTTTCTTATCATTTAAAATATGTAAATAGCCGAAAAGCAGAAAAATGAGCAGGCTAATCAAATATTGGCGAAAATTATAACGGATGCTGCGTGGATAAATTTACATTCCCTTCCGGTATAGTAGAAATCTGTCTCTTTGAAGCTTGCATGATAAATTTTTATTACTTGAAATGATATTTTTTTTGTTTCAGCATGACACAAGAGTTTTTGAAGTACGTAATTCTGAAGGATATGGCGCACGCTGGGAAATTAAGGAATCGCCTGCACAGTCCAAATCAAACAATGATAATCAAAGGAATGGTAACGGAACGATAATATTTCGTGGTTTTTTGGAACCACAAATGGAAGATGGGCATGAGAAAGGATGGATTCATTGAATATTTATTTCTTGAATAAGAATTTTATGCTTTAATCTCAATAAATAATTACTAAAATTATAAATTGCCGAGACCTTTCTTTCGAACATATGTACATCCTAATCATTTATCATTCATATTTTCGCCCATAGTGCTTGACACTTTTTTCTTTTTTGCTTTGAACCACGGTGGAAACTTACCGCCCCATTTTTCATCCATCTCCTTTTTAAATTTAAGATTCGACTTATGCCATTTGCTTTTTAGATGTTGGTTCCAGGTGTATAGCCCGTTTATTATCACTGGGGTGTTGTCGTTGAAGAAACTGCAAAGATCGCATTTATATTTTGTCCACGTGGTTAGGCTTCCGAATGTACTAAAGAAATTAAATTGAGTAAAAAAGTAAGGCGAGAAACGATGGTAGAAAATATTTTTTCATTAATACTCTGTATCCTTCGCTGGTTTTAAAAGTTCCGCAAGTTCAGGATTTATTGAACTTGGATCTGGGCCATTTCCGGTCCTAATATACTCTAAAATGAAGGAAAACGCATTCTTCTGAAATCGAATATCATACCAGTTGGCATAGAGATTAATTGCGCATACCTTCAGCAATAGAAATAGCTTTATCGCGAACATCACGATTCCATGTTTCCAGTGCTTTTATTTTACCAAACGCCAATTAATGGAGTTATGGATGATTTATTATATAAAGTGCACACAAGAGTTTGATTAAAAGGATACACGTCGCATTTAATAAATATAGTCTAGCATCGAAATTATTCATGCTTTCATGAATAGATTGTTGGTATTTGAGTAATAACCTATTCCTAATCCATCTGATTTGGTGTCTCGCGTATCTACGTGTGACAATTTTCATTCTTTCGACGCTAGAGGCTCTCAGAGAATCTGAATCATTAGTGTTAAAAAAATTTTTTTTTTTTTTTTTTTTTTTTTTTTTTTTTTTTTTTTTTTAATATTAATATCACTATTGATGATGACGATGAATATTTCTTACCATCCGGGTCATCCAAACCAGATTTTTGTGCATCTTCCAAAGCTTTCAGATAAGGATCAAATTCTTTATACCCTGGTCAAATGAAAATAGTTTCATCGGTCGCCTAAAATTCGAGCACTTGTGCATTCAACGCACTCATTCTTATTACCGATGGCCTGCCAGATTCCCCGTGTGTACTCCGCGTTTTGATCTGGTGGTACATGCATTTTTCCATCTTTGACTTCATTTCTCAAGTATTCTATTTCGTTGAAAAGGCCTCTCTAAGTTCAGACGTGGGAGGGCAAAAGGTAAGCAGTAATCACCTTAAATTTTAACGTGCATAATTACTTGATTGTGATATCATGGCTACCTCAATCATCTTGTCTACCCTTGCATCTAATCTTTGATCAAGAACTTCGAGATCGGCGTATAACCAGAAGATGCAGGTACGAGGAAATCTGTAGTGAGGAACTGATTAACAGATTTAATCAGAATGAGAAAGGTCACGTGAATTATTTCGAACCTTAATGAAGAAACCGTTTCACCCGATCGATGCTGGTGTTGTTCCTTGATCCATTCGCTATGAGGTTTTCCGGTTTGCAGATATATCTACTGTGAAAGCGAGTTAAATATTGTTTCAAGACGAAAAATTCAAGATGCTCGAACGCCAAGGACCTTCACCAAACCTGTAGACTCCTGCGGATTTTTCTTCGGTCATTCCAATGCCACCTGTTAGCCATCACCGGGTCAACTTCCTGGAGACGCTCGTAGAGAACTTCAGTTTCCGCATCAAGAATTTCCCTAAATTCTGATTCTTCATCAGAATCGCTTTCGCCGCTAATAGATCCGTCACCGATCAAAGTATTTTTCCAGAGCAGAGATTGTATATAATAATGGGTCCCACCAACGATAATTGGAATTTTGTCGCGTTCATGAATTTCCTTTATCTTTGAGATTTTTTTTTTTTTGTCATCGCAGAAATTAAAATCAAATAAACTTCGAGTGGAATGATATTGATCTTTGATAATGAAGAGTTTGCTCATACAATTCTTAGCGCATCTTTTGTGAACTCGGTGACGCGATACTCGGAATGCGGTTCAAGAAAATTCATAAGGTGGTGCGGAATCCCTTCTTGCTCATCCAAGGGCATTTTATTTGTAATGATATCCAATCCCTTGTAAACCTACGGTCATTATCCAAGAATAAAATATTTATTATTTGATATTATTATGACGACGGAGTATAAATATCCGCGGTGATCAACGGCTTGATCTTCCTCGTACGCGTATTTCGATTATCAACGATCATACTTGGGAGGAATCAATATGCTCCGTCACGGAGGAAAAGAATTAAACGAGTTCAAGAGAGACACAAAACCTGCATAGAATCGCCGTTAATGATTTCTCCCCCCAAGGTTTTCGCCAACCGAATTCCTAGATCTGACTTTCCTACGCCCGTCGTACCCACAATTGCTATAACACCCTTGGACATGTTTTGAGTATGTGTTGAACAACCCCTTATAAAAGTGCGCAAGGGAATTAATCTTAACAAAGTCTTAAACATGTAATATCGATATAGCAATTGACGAGGATCTTCGATTTATTTTGTCACATGATGTGCATTTTAAAAACCGATGTAATTAACGTTAATAATGCACCTTAATTTGTTAATTAGAAACCAGATTCTTATAATGTATAGCCCACACCTTACGAGTGATTCGAGTAAAGATCTAAACACAAAGGTTAGTACCTCAATACTTGATGAAGATAAAGGGGTTTTTTTTTTTTTTTAGTTACCTCTTTTACATAGCACAAGCATTGTGATTTCCTGTTGAGTGGGTGAATTTTTACAAGAAATCTTTGTTCTCGACAAAAGTGCCATGTATTACCCTTAGCCTCTCTTTTTTCTTTATATCACTTCGATACCGATCCTTTCTCTCGCGATGATTTCCTTCCTGCCTCCATACGAACAACATGTCACAAATAACAGGACTTTACGATAAATGATCAGGAAGTTGACGATGAGCCACTTGAAGAGGATTCCGTTTTTTGTCTTCCCCGTAACCATGTTCCTCATGCTTACCTTGATCTATCGAGAACGGAGATGGCTAGCATGGATGAACATCTTCCAGAAACCAACATAGGATACAAATTACTCATGAAGATGGGGTGGAAAGCGGGTCAAGGATTGGGAAGTTCTCAGCAAGGTGTTATCGTAAACCACGGTGAATTTTGATGCACGAACTTATTAAATACTGACGATCAATTTATCGATACATCTTTCAGGAAGAAGGGAGCCAATTCGTATAGATACAAAATCTGATAGTCTGGGGGTCGGAAAACTCGAAGAGGAAAATTATTATCATGCGACTAGTACTGCAAAACGCAAAGCTTTGGACAGCGAGAAAATTGCCGAAGAAACTGAGGAAGAACGCCTAAAGAGACAGGTCTGACCACCACTCAAAAAAAAAGAAAAAATTTTTTTCCATTTTGAATAAAAATTTACCTCCGACTTTTTTCTTTTATAAAGTCCAAAGTTCAAAAACGAGAATCAATTAAAAAAGAACTGGAAATTATCAATGCGGCATTTTATTGTGAGTTGTGCGATAAACAATATACAAAGATAACGGAATATGAAGCACATTTGAGTTCATATGACCACAACCATCGAAAGGTAAAGAGAAGCGTTTGACTTTGCGAAGTAGACGGGTGGGAATTGTCACTTAATTGCATTTGTGCCTTCACTTTCTACAGCGATTCAAGGAAATGAAGGAGAGTAGTCGTCCTTCAACAAAATTATATAAAAAACGCGAAAAGGAACGTAAGAGAGAAGAGAAGGAATTGGCTAGGATGCAACAGGCCGCGTTACAGAGAGCCACCAAGCAGTCATCTCCAGGAGAATTTCTGATCAGCGAGACGACCAGCACATCCACAAAGATTCTAGACGGAAGAACAAATAATGGGGGTTGGGCAACCGTAATTGAAGCTGGGACTTCCTCTGTTAGTACTGTCCTAGCTGGTAAGACACAAGACGCAACGATCACCAGTGGTACGAGAGGATGGATTTCAACGAACACACCGGAGAAAAAAAGATTGGACAATGGGAATTGCTCCACGTCAAAAGTAGCGGAATCTATGGAATTGAACAATCGTGATCAAACTTCTCCGATAACATCATCCCGGGGGACCAAAAATGAAACACACGAAACGGATAATAAGAATTCTTTTGTGAATAATAGTGAATCAAAATCAAAATCAATAGCGTTTGGCATCAGCAAGTCTAGAGAACAATCGGATGTGAGTATTTTGACGTTGGAAGTAAGTCTCTTTATGAACGTAATACTGACCAAAAATATTTAAATTAATATTAGGTTCAAAAACCTACGTTCAAATTCGGTTTCAAAAAAAAGTAAAATACGCACCTAATTTTTTTAAAAAAATTTCCCACTATTGTGATACTGGTTCAATTTTTTATTTATTAATATCTAATTTGGCAAATGCCCCAAATCATAAAAATCGCGTCATTTCTTTTGGACTTTTGATCTTTAATAAAATCTTGTTTTTGGTTTTTTCTTCGTTTGTCACAAATAAGGTTGTATCACACGCACGACAATGGACAAATTTTCAATGAAGTGAATCTTTGATTTAATATATACCATGTAACATTTATAACATTTATTTGTAGAAAGCACACGGCAAGCGGATTTGGTAATTACAATCACGTGATTCTGTCACGGGATAAAGAAGAAGTTCATTTACACATTTTATTTTATGTACTTTGTGCGTACTGTACGTACATACGTATTGTGCGAGCGCGAATAGTGCGTAACCTTTTTTAGGAAGGCCCTAAAATCGACGGTGGAAAATTATTAGATCTGATCATTAATCGTTTCTGTCTTCGACCAGAATGATTTCCAAGGATAAAAGACCTACGAAGAAGCTAAGAAAATCGACTGGTAGGTCTATCAAAACAGCTGAAGGACCTGAGCAAGTTCAGGATGATGTTAAAAAGGAGGAAACTATAGAAGAAAATAGTTCCCTCTATTCTAGAATGTGTATGTATGATATAAATATATCAAAAATATTATTTCCATGTCTTTATATTGCACTTCACTTTTCTAGTCGCGGATCGAGGTCCTAATAAACGCAAAATAAAACTACGGGATATTGCTGAGCAAATGATTGAAGACGCTGATCCTTGCGATTCCGACTATCAGTATGTTCAACAAGAAAGCAGTGACATCGACGAAAGTACTGACACCGATGATACGATTGTTAGCGACAAGCAACCTGACGGGGCTGAGCACATTACTCAAATCGACACCAACTCCATTCAACCCGGTCTTCAGGACGACAACATCAAAGAGTACTTGAAAAAATGGGTGCGTACAGATATTTTGTTCGTTGCGAACATGGATTTTATCACTAAGACTATATCTTTGTACTCTCACCAGAAACTTGATGATCCGGGAGTTTGTTGTATATGCCTCGAAGGCTCTACAACTGAAGAAAACATGCTCGTATATTGTGATGGTGATGACTGTGAGGTTGTCTGTCATCAAGGTAGATTATAATAATAGTTCATCTTTGCTGCGAGTGGTCTTAATCTAAGTTCTTCATTCGTACAGAATGTTATGGGATTGTACATTTGCCCGCTTCCGATGAACCATGGTATTGTGATAGATGCCTGGCGAAACCTTCGGAAACGGTGGTAAGCGGAAATAATCTTTCAAGGTTGTATGGCCAGTTCACTTAGAAAATTTAAAATTGTACAACAGATATGTGCACTGTGCCCGAAGAAGACAGGTGCATTCCGCAGGATGAAAGAAGGAGATGCGGCCGGAACATGGGTCCATGTAGTGTGTGCTTTATGGATGCCGGGAATGTGGATTGGAAAGACTATCGAGATGAGCGAAATCACGATTGAAAACATCGACCAAAAAAATTGGAATAGGGTGAATATTACTAGAAAAAATCATGAACTTCTCTAAAATAAGATTGTTCATTATTATTATTATTTAAAAAAATATATAAAAAAAAAAATACAAATATCAAAACAAACCAAAACGAAAAAAATACATCATATAGCCGTGCTGTGTATGCATTTCAGAAAAGGCGGAAAAAGCAGCCAATGAGGGTGCAACTGTACATTGCGACGCGGGGGAGTGTAAATCATGGCTGCATGTGACCTGTGCTCAATCTTTGAATCTTTTGGAGTGCCTTGAGGATGACCCAGAAATTTCGGATCCTTATTTTGTTGTACGTAGATCACTTTCTATCATTTCACATATTCACATCTAACCATTCAAAATTTCCTTGAAAAAAAGTATTGTCCGCAACATGGTTCACACGGACCGGCGAGGCTTAATGAGTGGGAAAAGTGGTGTCGTAAGCGTGATAGGTTCTATGAGTCCGTGAGGAATGTTGAATCACATGCAAGAACGGAACGGGTGAAACGGGAGCCTGATGTAGGTGCAAGCCTTTGTGAATTGTTTGAGGATAGTTACGCTCAGTATCGGCAACGGAGGGAGGAGAAAATCGCTAAACAGCGAAGAAAGCTTGCTCAGATAAATTCTTCTATACAAGGATTAAAAGAACAATCGGAAAAGTCTGAAAGTAACGTGGCTGATTACACCAATAAAATCGATAATGCCACGAAAGAAAATATTGCTTTGGAGGGTTATTTGCAAAAAGCACACGAGGCCCTGGTAATATTAACGAGATCGATGGTCAACATACCGAACCTCCAATTAACAAACCCAGGAGTAGAAGGTCAAAACATCTGCTCTTCGACAATGAGTTTCAACAAAGCTGCTGTCAGCTCACTAATAAGTACCCTCGAATCAACCAAAGAAATAGAATGGACGCAGCAAACAAAAGAATGTGCGAGAAAGATATATGTCAGCCAGTTGGATACAAGCTGCATGCAAAATCTAGGTATAAAGGCCATACAAAAAATCCTAATGCAGATGGCCAAGGAGCAAAAATCAAGGAGAACAGCAAGAAGAGGAAAGAAACGTAGTGCAATTGGTAATTCCTCGAGGGCCATTGTCAAGAGAAGTAAAAATATCATCAACATTGATGAGCCCCCAACTGATAATGGAGACGCATCAAAGAAAAATACCAGAAGAGCCCCCAAAAGGGCTCGACAAAGATCCTCGCAAAATGTGCAGACACCTACTCAGGAAATTCTAGAATCTGCAAGTAAAACTACCACAAGAAGAGGGCGACGACCAAAGAGTAAGGTGGTTGTTGAGAATCGTGTGGAGAAAGATGATACTTCAAAGGTTGAGGAGGAAGTGGTTGACGTTGTGGACGATAGTCCGAAATGTGATGAAAATTCGGCGGTTTCGGATAACCGCGTGGAAAATGGGGCATGTACTGATGATACTGAGTTGGCCGCCACGAATAGAATTGTTGACGCCGTCAGAGATGACTCCACGAATGGAAACGGAGCTGGTGACATCACTGTAAACAACATCATTAACGATAGCGTTGCCGACTCTATGAATTGTAATCGTGAATTAAACGATCGAAAAGAAGAACCATCCAATAATTCTACAAACAATATGGGCATTGCAAAATTACTTAACCCCGTTGAAAATACCATCTCAACTTTAAAAAGTAGAAATAACGTAAACTCTGATGATAATTATGTTAACTCCTTAACAAATAATGTATATACTCCAAATAACAATCTTGCCGAAGGTTCTAGCACTGGATCTAGTTCCATAAATATTTCTCTTCATAATAACTTCATTAATCATTCAGTGAATAGTCATTTGAATGTTGCAGGAAATGAAGGAACCTCCTCTATATATCCTAACAATGATTTGGGAATTGGTAACTCCTATCTGCTTTCCGGTGCGCACGGAATGATCAATTCAACCACACAAACAAACGGCAACTCTACTTCTACATCAATGGCCATCGGTTCGAGTGCACCAACCATACCTTTCAGCAGTAGTCTCTCTCCATACAGAGGGTTAATTAATTCCAGCGTTACGTCTATCATTTCGTCATCATCGACAGCTGCTAAAATTGCTTATGCCACTCAACCCAGAACACCAAACTCCACCCATCTCTTTACAGCCACACCCACTCCCGCCGGCTTCTATACGACGACTCCTGTAGACCCCGAAATGCTGGCCGAAACGAAATCGAGAAAACGTAAAAATGTTGAATCTGAAAACAGCGGAGAGCTGCAAGATGGCGAATCGGAAAAGCGTCGAAAACCAGGGAAACGTAAGTCGAAAAAGAATTCCGGGCAGCAGACTGAACGGGTTGAGTCGCAACCTGAAACAGTGGAACCATCTCCGGAACGTCCACCAATTCCTCAGCCCGTTTGTGCCGTTTGCAGGCTGATTGAGCCACCACCCACCGACCGTCCCTCCGCTACCTATATATATCCATCCAAAGCTAGAGAATCTATGCTGCTTAAAGGAAGGGACAAGGTGCACCGTATGATCCGATGCAATTTCTGCACCAAATGGTATCATTTAGCGTGCATGAATCCGCCAAGACGAACAATGCCGACGGGGTATGTATATTCTGTCCACGTCTACATCAAGACCTTTTTTTATTCCTCCTTACTCATGAATTCAATTCCTGTGACGCAGTGGGTACGTTTGGAGATGCGAAGAATGCGACCCCGGGGATTCATCAGATCCTCTCGCACAGCTTGCTAAATCTAAAGACTCGGCTGTTTCTGATGGAAACAATCAACTTCAAGCCGAATCGCCAGCCTCCACCCAACGTCCCTCCGAAAAGTCTCTACCGGGATCTTTAACCCGCAAATGGAGGTTAAGGTCATCCACAAAAATTTAATCTGTGCCCATGAAGTTTGTATTGCATTCAATCAGTTTGTTACTTAGCAGTTAGAGTTTTTCAATAATTTTTTCATATTTTTCGGTTACTAGGAATATTGTCAATTTCTATGATGAATTATACAATTGTTTGAAGTGAATTTAGTTGACTTAAAACAATAAAATTCAGCAAACCTGACTTTATCTCGTTTTGAAATATAATCCTATGTGCGAACATTATTTGTAATATACGGTAGGATTGTACATTGATTATTTTCTAAAGTAATTAATACACTTGGAAGCCTAATTTGTAAAAAAAGATTCGACGGCAGTTGACTTAATTCAATCGCGTGCTATTTATACACAGTATGTAGCATATTCTATTGCTATATGTAAACTTTAATTAAGCAAGTACAATCATCCTCCCATGTAGCTAATTTTTCAAAAATTGCTTAAAATTTTTATTTTGTTAAATTTTTTTTTCTTTTTTTTTTTCTTCTCTGATGTAAGGAATATGACTAAAAATCATATAATGAATTATTTTTAAAAATATTTTTTTCTAATTACTTTATGAATATATAGTTTTATTAATACAGTAAATGTATATTGTATAAAAATCAAAAATCTTAAATAATTATAATTTTAAATTATAAATTTATATAATATAAATCACAACTCTTTCCATTGATCCTTCTTTGATCACACATAAAAAAGACATTTACAAGAAATTTTTATATTTCTTGACTAACAAAGTCTTATAATTCTCTTTAAATCAATTTGAAAGAATACTTCAAGAGTCATCTTTATCTCCCTTCCTTTTTCTTGTAAACAATTTTCTTCAAAAAAAAACCAGATTTTTAGTAATAAAAGTAATAAATACATCTTTCCTACCAATGGCAAGAAAGTTCTAAAAGAAAGAAGAACTGAAATATTGCTACCTACTTACTTGCTAAAGAAACAATACAGAGCTTTTTTAATAATAAGAGATTTATCTTGAAGGCAACTATCTACTCTCTTGTCATATACTTACTCTAAGAATATTCTTTTTTGGTTTTTTTCTAGAGAATTTTACTTATTTCACATTAATCAAAAAATATTTATTTGGCATAATACCACTTATGTAATATTCATCAAAAAAATAAATAATTCAGCATATTAATAACATAAATAAATCATCAATCAATTTCTACTATATAATTCAGCATAAATAAATTGTCAATCAATTATTACTATAATATAAATAAATCATCAATTAATTTCTACTATATAATTTAACATTATTTGTCATATAATTTGTATTATTTTTACTATATATTTCATTAAAATTTTTCTCAAAAAATCATTAGACATTTATCAAAATTCACATATTTGACAAATTTTTAATTATATATTAT